GTTTCTATTTTATATGTGCCCTTGTATATATACATATGATTGATATAATGTCCACCGCGCTCAAAACACCACTCGTAACGCTCAAGTTATTCGCAAAACTTTGAAGCTTAAGCAAATGAAAAAGGAGGATGATAAAGCTTTGAGTCACTCAAATGCACATACTACGCGCATAATTTAGTTGCCAGGGTCCCGTATCAATACAAATTTTGCGGAGCGAGCGGATGAGCTCGAAAATGTAGGTGGAGCTTAACTGAGATGCAGCGTCAATTCAGTGCAGATTCGAATTCAAAGAAAAGCTGAAAGATTGATTAGGATGGAACTGCCATTGAATCACATTTCGCAATCAAGAATGACTATTGAAAGATTTGTGGAAGTTGAATGCACAAATTTTCTTTAAACAGATAGGCTTATACTGACGAGCGCAAAATCTGGCATATTGCTCGAAAATATGAATTTTAGCATACACAAATTGAGAAGGAAGTTCTCGTTAGCATTTACCACCTCGACAAATTCTCAGCTCTTTTCAAATCTGCTCTTAATTTTCAACACGAAACACAGCTCGGGTGGTAAACACGCAGATAAGCACACACCTGGACATAACTAACATCGGTATGTGGTGGACTGTCGGAGTGATGACTAGCTTGTCGATGTTCTGAAGCTCTACTACCTCGTGATCTACGTCCAGAGTGGTCGGCATACCTGTAGAATCAGCAAAATCAGTATGTTAAGAACATAAATTAAAAAAGATGGCACTGATTTACCTGGCAGGGGGACCGTTGGGAATGGGATTACTCGGTAGGGCAGGCCCTCTCAACATACGATCATTCAACCAAGCAGGTTGTTGATTTGACATGACCAATGTTGTGGTGGCATAAGGAGATGGATCGTCTTGGAACTGGAAAGCAACACAAGATGAGGCGACCGCAAATTCAGAAAAGAAGAAGGTCCTAACCTGATTCCCATAAAAGGTGCTCAGATTGCCGGGGCCTCCTGATAGTTGCGCATAGTGATAATGATGCTCAGACCCATTACGATTCATCGTCCCAGCCATATAATCATCGCAAGGAGCGTTGTAAAAGTCTTGCTGGTTTGGAGTCACCGAATATGGTTGATGGGTTGCAGGACATCT